GTCAACGCGGATCACCATGAGACTTCGCCGCCCCCTGTGGGGCTGCGATCTGCGAAACTGTCGCCACTTTCGTGGGTTTCTGGGAGGCCCAGCGGAGGTACTTCTTTCGCGGATCACGAGACCTCGCCGTCCTTTGCGGGGCTGCGATCTGCGAAACAGTCGCAATTTTTTTGGGCTTCTGGGAGGTCCAGCGGAGGTACGTCCAACGCGGATCACCGCCAGACCTCGCTGTCCCTTGCGGGGCCGCGATCTGCGAAACTGTCGCCACTGTCGTGGGCTTCCCGGAGGCCCAGCTGAGGTACGTCCAACGCGGATCACCACGAGACTTCGCCGTCCCTTGCGGGGCTGCGATCTGCGAAACTGTCGACATTTTCGTGGGCTTCTGGGAGGCCCAGCGGAGGTACGTCATACCCGGATCGCTACGAAACCTCGCCGTCCCTGCTGGGCTGCGATCTGCGAAACTGTCGCCACTTTCGTCGGCTTCTGGGAGGCCCAGCGGAGGTTCGTCCAGCGCGGATCACCACGAGACCTCGCCGTCCCTTGCGGGGCTGCGATCTGCGAAACAGTCGCCATTTTCGTGGGCTTCCTGGAGGCCCAGCGGAGCCACGTCCAACGCGGATCACCACGAGACTTCGCCGTCCCCTGCGGGGCTGCGATCTGCGAAAGGGTCGCCATTTTCGTGGGTTTCTGAGAGACCCAGCGGAGGTACGTCCTACGCGGATCACCACGAGACCTCGCCGCTCCGTGGGGGGCTGCGATCTGCGAAATTGTTCCCACTTTCGTAGGCTTCCGGGAGGCCCAGCGGAGGTACGTCCTACGCGGATCACCACGAGATTTCGCCGTCCTTTGGGAGGCTGCGATGGGCTTCTTGGAGGACCAGCGGAGTGATTCGGCGTGTGCGAGCGTCGCGCAGCTAATAGCGCATGGCGCTGTCCGCTGCCCATGCCGCATCCCTTCTTCAGCTGCCTGTTGCTTGTAATGCATGCGGGCACATGCTACGTTTAGCGCACGACGCTGTACTGTCATAGCGCGCAGAGCGCTGTCTTGCAATTCGAACACACCGCAAGGCGCTGCTATTCCTACGAATTGTGTCTCCAATCGTCCCTCCTCCACATGTTTCCATGTCCCCTCGTGGGCGCTCTCCTTCCAACGACCTGGCTCTTAAGAGTGACGCCGCATATGCGAAACACCTGGGTCTGGCCCGACGTTCTCTGGCGAAGCGTTCAAGGGTACTGCAGATCATTCAATGATTGCTTTCGTATAGAGCGATCCGATGTGTACTCGCCACATGCTTCAAAGGATTGGATACGTCCCCGGATATTTTCTATTACTGTCGTTCTACGAATCATGATGATCGAATAGCCTTCGGGCCATCCCGCCACCGTGCTTGGCTGTGGGTATGAAGCCTATTGGATGTTCGTTGGAATCTCGTGGGCGGCCTCTCGGAGGCCTCCTTCGAGGCAGTTAGGAGGCCTCTTGGGCGCCGTTTGGCGCCTCTTGGGGCATCTTTGGGGCCTCTTGGGGGCCTTTTGGGGTCTCTTGGGGGCCTCTTTGGGTCTCTTGGAGGGCCTCTTGGGAGCCTCTTGGGGCCTCCTGGGCGCCTCTTGGGGTCTCCTAAGCGGGGCGGAAGGCTTGGACTTTCGGTTCGTGTTCCCTTTCGTGGGCCCTCTTCGGGGCCGTCTGGGGCCGTCTTGGGCGCCTCTTGGGGCGCTCTGTGCCCGTCTTGGGATCCTCTTGGAGGCCTCTTGGGTCGTTTTGGGGTGGTCATGGGGGCATTTTGGGCCGTTCTGGAGCGTCAGAAAGTCGAAAACGCGAGAACGCCAAAATCGCTATACAAAAAACACGAACATCAATTGTTTTTGCCTCTTGAGGCCTTGGGGGGCCTCTTGGGGCGTTTCGGAGGCCTCGTGGGCCATCTTGAGGCCATCTGGGCGTCTTGGGCCGATTTTTCGGCGTCTGGGGGCCCTTTGGGCTGTCTTGCAGGCAGCTTGGTGTCCTCTTGGCCTGTCTTGGGGTCCTCCTGGGCCAAAGGAATCACGCGCCACCGCTTGGCAAAGCCCCCCGTGGGCACGCGGGAAGCCCCGGGAGATTTGAGACTTCCGAGGGCGCCGCGCGCGCCCATTCGGTGCCTACGGCCCCGCGGCAGGCCGACATGCCTCGTGCCTGCGATTTCTCCGGCTTCACGTCCAGTTTTCTCCGAGAGCGTGTTCGGGCCGTTGAAAGTGGGTATTTCGGGATTCCCATATCCCAACCTATTGCAAGCGCCTTCCTGCTTCAAGCGCCGATGTGCGATTGTCGTGTTTTGTTGTTCCCTGGGAAGGCCTGAGCCCAATCTACCGGATCCGCCTTCCTACATCATGTTTTGTGCCGACTTTTTGCGAAAGATGTGTACCTTCCCCAACCCTTCCCAAGACGCCCAAGATGGCCCACAGGACGGCCCAAGAGGCCCCCAGGATGCCCCAAGAGGGCCTCCTCCTCCTCCTCCTCCTCCTCTCCTCCTCCTCCTCTTCCTCCTCCTCCTCCTCCTCTTCCTCCTCCTCCTCTTCCTCGTCCTCCTCCTCCTCGTCCTCCTCCTCCTCCTCCTCGCCTGGTGCCCAGGCGCTCGACCTCGGCGATGAGGACCTGGGGGAGCTGCCCCACTCGCCGTCCAGCGGGGCGCACCCCGTCACGCCCGCCACGGGCTCGATGAGCCTCCTGCCCGCCCCGGGTCGCCAGCTCCTGCCCAGCCACTCGATGATCTCGGGCACGTCGTGCCTCTCCGGCGAGGCGCCCCCCCCCGATGCGGTGTCGAGGGCGAGCACGAGGAGGAGGAGGCGGAGGCGGAGACGGAGGAGGAGGAGGCGGATGAGGAGGAGGAGGAGGAGGAGGAGGAAAAATATGAGGAGGAGGAAGGAGGAAGGAGGAAGAAGGAGGAGGAGGAGGAGGAAGAGGAGGACGAGGAGGAGGAGGAAGATAGAGGATGATGAGGGAGGCGGGTAAGTAATTACCGATGCCGCTGCCGCTGCCTCGTCCTCGCCTTTTTGGGCCTCCCCGGAAGCCCTCGTCGGCACGGCAGGATTCGCCCCGAGGCCTTGGTCGGAGCGCACGCACCCAGCAAATTGCACATCGTGCCTCTCCGGCGAAGCGGGCCCGCGCGCCTGGAAGGCCGGGGCAAGGGTCAGATGAGATCAGTCACCCCTGAAGATCTGGGCGGCTGGGCGGTGCCTTGTTGTTACACCGGGAGTGCTCGCCCGGTGTCGGTCGGGGGCGGTCAAGAGGGGGGGGGGACCAGGGGGGGGATATCATGGCCAGAGTCATGATACAGTGGAGGCCCATGCCAAGAAACACCTTGCTTGCCTTCAGGGTGCCCTGGGTTTCTTGAGTTTCGATGGCTTTGCGATGGAGAGTGCGACGTTCCCACACCAAAAATCCATGAACGTCCTGGGGTCTCAGGGTTGGCACCAGGGCCAGCACGGATGGGTCCAGCTCGAAAAATGCTTGAGAAGGATAGGGGCTGGGGCTCCAGTCGTGATTGTTCGCGGTGTTGCATCTTGTCGCAACGTGGAATCCCAAGATAAGGATCCATCGACTAATTGATCAGCGAATGACGAACGCCGACGACGGGGGTTCTGTCGGCACTGCCCGGTGAGATCGCGTAAACGTTGGTTACTCTTTGGGAGACTTTTGAAATACAGGCTTCGGAAGAAATTAGCGAACAATCACGCCAAATTCATCTGTCAATGCACCACGGTGGGCTGAATGAGTTGCACTTCGACCGCAGTCCTCTCCGCGCGTGTCAACTTTGAATTTGGGGGAGAGGGGGGAGTGTCCACTAACTGCGTCCCTCGACCGTAAGATCGGCGGCAACCGAGGGGGGTGAGTGAGAAGGAGGAGGCCTTCTCAGAAGGCGGCGGGACTTCTCAGAAGCCCTCGCGCCTTCTGAGAAGTTTTCTGCGTCTTCGGGGACGGCTTCGAAAACTTCTCGGAAGGCCGGGGGACTTCTGAGCCTTCTGGCGAGGCCTTCTCCTCCTCTCCCTCCCCCCCCCTCGCTCGCCGCCGGTGAGCACCCCCCCTTGGGGCTCCGGAGGGGGGCCCTGGTCTTCGGGCCGCTCCTGAGAGGTCCGGGCGGGAGTGCCCGCTCGTGGCCGAGGCTCACCGTGGCCAGGCGAGCCCCTTCCGCGCCGTGCTCGGCGCTCCCCGGGGCATCAAAATGGCCTCGGCGGCACTGAGCAGGGCTCGTTTCGGGTCCTCCGGGTCGATCCGATCCGATTCCGATGGTTTCCGATTCCGATTCGATTCGGCTTGGGATTCCGATTTGGGTTCCGATTTCTGATGGGAGGCATGCTGGCCTGCCGATTTCTGCCGATCCGACTTTTCCCGGCTCGGCTGCCGATGTCCGCCGATCCGATTCATTTCGATCGCAGATCCGACTTATCGATCCGATTCTGGGCTCTCTTGCACTACGTGGCTCCAACCAGCTACAATAAAGGAGTGGAAACAGTTGGGAAAATACTTCGTGAGCCGCACACATGCCTGAGTAGGGGCCCTGCGCGCGCAGTATTTCATGCGAGGCCATGGCCTCACCCGCCTCGCCCGCACAGGCGTCCCGTCCCGTCCCGTCGGCGCTCCCCATGGTAGCACGATGGCTGCAGTCGAAGAAAATGCCCCGACGCCGACCCCCAGCTGCGAGGGCAGGAAGCGCACGAACAGCAGTGGCAGCCGCTTCAGCAAGGCCTGCAGGGGTCACGGAACACGCAGCTCGAATGACCAGGGAAGACTTCCTTCATGCTCAAGCATGTTTGGGGGAAACTTGCATAACCATCAGCTATCGAAGGTCCGCGTGGATTTGTTGGGTCGGCGCTAGACTCCCATCCGTGGCGCGCCGAGCGCGCCAGAGGCGGCATCGGAGGCGCCGCCAGGGGGGTCCAGCGCCGGTCCAGGAAATCAGCGCGGACCTCCGAAAGTTCATGTTTTATTTTATTGTTATCAACACACGATGACTGAGTGGCTGACGGCGAGGTTTCTGTCAACATGGCCCGGTGCGGTGGGATGAGCACCATTTGAGGTTTGCCATTGGCCATTGGCCAGTGCTTGCTGCGCTGACTACGGATCTCGGGCAGAGCAGACGGTGGATACTACAATCACAGTGCAAGCCACCCCCCCTCCTCCTCCTCCTCCTCCTCCTCCTCCTCCTCCTCCTTCCTCCTCCTCCTCCTCCTCCTCCTCGTCCTCCTCCTCCTCCTCCTCCTCCTCCTCCTCCTCCTCCTCTTCCTCCTCCTCCTCCCCCCCTCCCTCGCTCTGCGACCAGTTGCGAACCCTACCCCTGCAGGTCTGGTCGGCGCTGGGGTATATCGGGCGCACCCCTGCCCCATGCCGGGTCTCGCACGGATCGCAGGCACAGCCTCCGAATCTCTGAGCCTTGGCCCGCGCTTCAGAGATCTGACCTCAGGTCAGGAGGTGGAGGGCGAAGCGGGGGGCCCCGATTGCGAAGCAGGATGAGGAGGGCTTTCGGGCGGGGATGGAGGAGGGAGGGGGCCCGGAAGGGGCGGCAGAAGCGGGGGGCGAGGCCGTGGCGACGCGCCGTAGCCGATGCGCGGCGGATTTGGGTCGCGGTCTTCCAGGCGAAGCATCCCCCGTGCAATGGGAAGCGGTTTGTTGGCAGCGGTCCGCGCGACCCTGCGAAGGAATAAATGTTGGATGAATCCGTTCCGCACGCGGGTCAGAGCTGAGACCTGCAGGGTCAAGGGTTCAGTAGGTATCAAACAAATTTTGGGAGCTCGTATGCCGTCTTAATTCCGTCCTCAGCGTCGAGTAGCGCCTGGTAGTCAATTTGATAGCGCCGATTTAGCGCCTGTCAGCGTCGGCTGGCGTTGATTAGCGTCGAGTGGCGTCGATTACCGTCGGCCAGCAAGATGGGAGGGGAGGCCCCCATGAGTGCCACCGGAGGATCGCCTGCGAGCGACGGACGAAGACGGAGTCGACTGCGCCGACAATCACGCGTGAGCTGCCCGCGCAAGGTCTCGCGCCTAAGCGCCATTTTCTCCGCACGGTGTACCGCGCTGGCGGCCCTCCGACGCAGCGGCGTAAGGTCGCCAGGTCCCCACCGAAACTGAAAACAAGTTTTTCCCGTGCCGCGTCGGCGCCCCCAGACCCCTAAATTTCAGTGCCGATTCCGAAACACGCGACTTAATTTTGTCCGTCGGCGTCCGCGGACCGCGCCTCGTGCGCAGCTGAACATTGAAATTGGGGGCGCGGGGGGGGTGAAAATTTGCGTTGGGTTTCGCGGGGGATTGTAGGTTTCTTCCCGTGGTTGCCTGCTCGCCGCATGGCAAGTTTGGAGGGGGGCGGAAAAGGAGGCCGCTCTCTCTTGCGGGGTTGTTGGCGCCGGAGGCCCGTTCGCGGGCCGATTGGGTTCCCGCGGCAGGAGCGACCCACGGCACGAGACCCGGCCACACCTGCCATGGGAAAGTAACGTCGGGGGCGGCCAAAATGAGATGGGAGAGGGGTGAGGACTAGGGGTGTGTGGATATCATGGCGGGGGGCATGACATCCACCCAGGTTTCATGGCGCTTCTTTTCATTCCAACATGTCTTTGCCCCCCCCCCTTGGGCCGCGCACGTGCCGCCGGCCACGATGTGCGCGCCCCCTTTTTTGGACGCCCCCTCTTGGCCGCCCCCGTTAACGCATGCGCGGTCCATCTCCCCGCGCCACTCAATTTCCATGTTCACGCGGGGTGCCGCGCTGTTCGATTTTTCTTCCATCGGCCGCGGCAGACTTGGCAACATTGGGATCGGGGACCGGGGGGTGGGGGTTGGTTGGGCGAAGCATTGAACAACCAGTTGTGTTACTTGTCCAGGGGTCCCTGACACCGGATCTACCGTATTGTGGGCAACTTCGCAAGCAACGCGGAAGTGTCTGCCCTGCTTTTCAGGTTCCTCGGACGTCGATTCCCGCTCTAGTTTGCCCATGTTTGCCCCCGCTGTTTCTGCGGAAACAGCCGCCCCACTTTTTCGAGGCGGACATTTCCACCTTGTTTGTTCGCATCGCTCTTGGGTGTATTTCCGACACGGTCTGAAAATCAGAGACTCCGCCGAATTACGGTGGCTCTAGAGTCGGGGCCCGACCCCCGACTTCGTGGCTTTTCAGCGGCGTGGGCCCCAGAGCGCTCGGCCCCCACTCGGTGCCAGCCTGGTGGGTGCTCGGCTCGGCGGCGGGCGAGCGAGGGGGTAGGAGGAGGAGGAGGCGGAGGAGGAGGAGGAGGAGGCGGAGGAGGAGGATAAGGAGGAGGAGGAGGAACAAGGAGGAAAAGGATCAGGAAAAAGGAGGAGAAGGAGAAGGAGAGGAGGGGGCCCAGGTTCCTGTTCGGGGCAGGAGGAGAAGCGCAGTTGGGCGCTCTGTCTTGGCATCTCCACGGCGCCTCGGCCCCTCGGCGAGGGGCGTCATGTTCTTCATCCACGTTCGTGTGGCCATGTCTCGACGGTCCTCCTCCCTCTCCTCCTCTCTCCTCCCTCCCCCCTCCTACCATCTCCCTCCTCCTCCTCGTCGTCCTCCTCCATGTCTTCTCCTTGCAAATAATTTCTCCCTGTCGCACCCCGAGGCCAGTGTTTAGGGCGGGCCGGGCGCTTCGCTCGAGACTTCCTCACCGTATATGACCCTGAAGCTTAAACATTGTCAGCAGCTTCACACATGGAGGGCGGGTGGTTTTCAAAATGTGGCTCTCGCCACAGCGCCGCGCGCAGTCGTTTCCAACATTTGTAAGAGGTTCACAGATGGAGGGCGGGTGGTCT